GACACTGAATTATTTAAAGATTTTGTTGTCAGATTTGTGAGTAACAGTTCATGCATTCAAGCTGTACCTTTTGTGTAGATGTCACAGGCTTCTTACTCACAGAGTTTCCAATTAGGTTTGACCTAAGGAGTGAAACGTCAGTTACTTAATTTATCAAAACAGAAAATGAGCTTCAACAATTTCCAAATGATGACCAGATATCTTTTTAGAGTTGATCATTAACTGATTTTATTTTTGTTAAAGTCTGTGGTAAGAATTTATTTTCTCCCTATGTTTGTCATTCATCTGTTCATACAACGCAAAAATAATTACAATTATTTGGTTTCATTGAATCATGGTCAGTGCACATAAAATCCATGAACCCAATGGACCTCTTTTTGTTTTATTAAATGGAATGTGGATTTGTAAATAAGTATATGCAAATATAGGTCAATAGGTTTATGATATATCTACATAGATAGATGCAATGTTCATTGCTTAGATGTTTTATTTATTTTTATACTTAAAAAATATGAAAGATTTGAGACTTTGTAGGGGATTTAAATCCCAGAAAAAAATCAGTCTGATTTGTTATATAGATTACCATATATACCCATAGGGGACTGTTTCATTCTCACATTTTCTTGATGTTTGAAAAGAAGTTAACTGGGCTTTTTTTGAGATTTTGATTCTAATGCAAGAGAAAACAATGATAACTAAATAAAAACTCATGCACGAGGACAAAAACTATAATGAAATGTACTGACACTTGACAATATTTAATAACAAAATGAAAAGTGGAATGAGTTTGGAAGTGATCCCATAAGTCAAACAATGTTAGAGATGTACAATTTGATCTGCCTCAACAAACAGGATGGAGTGCCCATGCTCATGTTTCTCATGGAAAAAAAAAAGACCCAATGCCTGCAAGTAAGAGAGAGCATACATACGGACACATTTTGCATTTGATGTCAAGGACATCAAACCGTGTGGAGCAACTCTCACCAGTAAAAACATGAGAAACTTTTTATGCTTTATATTTTATTCACCAGATTCAACTTTAGATTTCGTCTACTTTAATCTTATATTTATACAACTAAAACTTAAATAATTTATGGCTAAAACTAAATGACGTTTTACTCAAAACACCCTGACTAAAACGTAATCAAAATTAGCTCTCAAAATCAACACTGCATCCAAGAGGCCTCTTCAGTTCTAAACCTGGCACAGTCCCAGATAATAAATTCCTGGTGATGGGCTGTCTCCTTTCAACACCCAGCAACATTTCATAAAACATTTTTTTCCACATGCAGTTTTATTCTTACCTTGCTTCAGGTAGCTTCAGCTTTCCTTTTGCTGCCAGATATTCCATTAGCTTCTGCTTACGGATCTCTGTGACAGAAAACATACAGGAATTAAGCACCATCAAATAAAGATTTTTCCCTATACTCACATGTAAATGCCAAACTTGAGATTCATGAAATGCCTGAACTGAAAATCCTAAAGGATTAGTACAAAGCAACATTATGTATTTGTTGTTTGTGTTGTTCTTGGTTTGGCTGCTCGCTGTAGGGGTCGCAACAGAAGGTCCACTGCATGTCCTCTTTCACTATATTCATAAATCTTGTCTGTGCTCTTCCTCTGTTTCTGCTGCCTGGATGCACCATAGTTGACATCCTTTACCCAATATATCCCTACCACCCCCCTGTACTTTTCAAAACCATCTGAGGTTTGCCTTTCGAACCAATCTGGTCAACCTGAGCACACACATACACACACGCATTCCTAATCCTGTCCCTTCTAGTCGTCCCCCATGAGTAAATTCAACATCTTTAAATATGCCAACTGCCTTTTCCTAGGTCCAAACATCACAGCAGGTCTTGAATCACAAATTACCCCTGACAGCCATCTCCACTCCACTCGCCCTGCCTGCACTCTCTTCTTCACCTCTCTTATGCACTGTCTGTTGCTTTTAAAACTGACTACAAGCAAAGCCTTTTTGAGTCAAACGTGAACAGTATGTAAACATTTCAAGTTAAATGTTGTTCTTTTATCCTGAAAGGTAATGCCTTTTTCTAAACTGAGCCAATATACAAATACATGGGAATATTTTAGTTGAATGGGCAGGTGATAAAAAAAAGTTTTGTACTTTGATGCTATTCTGGGTCAAATCAGTGAAAATAGTGGTTTTGGGGACGGTTGAAATTGTACATGTCATATATGTGTGTATATTTTAAGGGAGAGAGTTCAAGGGGGATCTTGAAATTGAAATACGAAACATCTGTGTTCCCACCACATTTGTGCAGGTTCAAGCAGAGGCTGACACCTGCTGGTCTTTGAAGGATCATGGGAAAATCTCCAAACAGTGTAGGAGCATAGTAGTATAACTATATGTGGTTCACATACAGAACAGAGGTCATAGGTTTATAGAGATGTAAACACCCAGAACAAGCAGTTGGTCCTCAGTCCTCTTTATTTTCTCGAGGTGCTCCGGCTATCTCCCAAAGACATTCATGTTAGATTAATTGGTTAATCTAAATTTGCTGTGGATGTTAAAGTGCTTATCTGTTAAAGTGTACAGATAAGTGCTGTATGAATGTAGAAGTATGTTCTAAGTAGGACTTAGAAACTCTGAGTGGTCAGTAAGACTAGAAATGTGCTTTATTAATGTGAGTACATTACATGTTGCGCTCCCTGTGCTTTGCTCCTGCAAGAACAAGTACCCACAATGCGTGAAAATTAAACAATAAAAATGTTCCAGTCCACTTATTCTGAAATAACTGAGAATAAAACAGAAATCAAACGTGGGATTGTGGGTCATAATAGGATTATAAAGGTGCCTAAGGTGCCATTTCAGTGAGTGAGGGAAATCATTGAGTCCCACACATGCACGTCTTCGACCACTGTTTTGAATACAGGCAAGATTGCAATAGCAAGTTTCGTGCTTGTTATACATACAGAAGTGAGAACAGGGTGATTGTATGGTTATAAATTGGTTATATAATAAATTCCAACAAGAGTTTCCTTGCCATTTTCACAGTCATGCATTAAATCATTTTGGCTGTTACACTATCCAAGCTCTCAAACTTTATTTAAGACTCAATCTTCTATTTATTAATGTCAGACCAGTTATGTATACATTGTAAAAGAATATGTAGTTCGTAATTTGTTGTTGATACAATGAGAGATTTGACCGGGACAATGCTATGAAAGCATAAATATGAATTGTACGTGTTAAACAAAACAAACAAAGCAGGCTCCTGCATGGACAGACCGCCATTAGGAAGGTCGGTTAAAATACTCAAAAGGCACCTCGGCTGCGGATAAAAGTTACTTTTTAGTGTTACCACCTACTTAACTCTATCCGTCTTCTTCCACCCTGAATTGCTAATACTAACTGTACTGTAAGTGTTAACGTTTCCTAACTCGCAGCCATAACGTCTTGTTAACCGTTTAAACTTTGCTAGCTTTTATGGAACTTAATAAACTCGCTAACCTTTTCTGGAAAGCACTGGCTCGGATTCCCCTTCTTCCATTTCTAATAGAAATTGTGTTCGTCGTATAAGTTTGTAGAAATCAGCTAAACAAACGTGTTTCAAACACGTTAACGTCGCCCATAATAACTGCGCTCGCGCATCCGCTTTCGAAATTGCCGGGAGTTAACGCCTCCCTTCTCTGATTGGATGATTTGAAATTTCGGGGGAAAACAACTCACTTGCGCAAAACTCCTGCGCTGATTAGAGCAGAAATCATCTGTGCAAATGAATGATAGGCAGGCGCACTATTTCCTGGACATGATGTGTCAGCTGTGCTTTATTATATGACCAAACTTTGTATAAAAACTCTTCAAAATTATCACCGTAGACGACATATATAAGAAGGTACGATACAACTCATTAAAGTGGTGACTGAAATGAGAGGTTTTTTTGGAAACATAGGTTTTATTTTAAATTACTTAGTGATCCAAATTTAAAAAATTAAAGACAGGACAACATAATGGCGTCTGGGAAGACGTTGTATCCCTTATAAGTCAAAGTCATACATAATCAAGTGTAGACAATTAGAAGTTAAGTCCAGGCAACAAACAAACAAACAAAAACTAAGATACACTGATTTAGACAGACTAATTAGTTTGGTATGAATGTTTTTTTAAGTGACTTTTAGTCCACACTCTGCCACTTGGTGGCGACAGTGTACCATTGAATTGTTTGCCCATCGCTAGTAAAATGAACAGGAAGAAGAAGGTAGGCTAAGATCATACATGATAAGATAAATTATTAAGGTAGACTACATAGGGGGGAAAAAAATCTCAGAACAGGAAAAAAATGCTTAATTAAATACAGGATATATAGTAAAACTGAAGGAGCTCAGTAAGCAAAATATCAAAGCAAAAACTGAATAAAATACAATTAAATGGCTCTAGTAAGTAACTCCAGTAAGTTTAGCCAGATGACTCAATGAATTAGATTAAGAAAAATAAGAAAATAAAAGTAGTTTACTAAATGTATAAAATAAATGTCAGAAACCCAACAAATTTCTCACCGTAACAGAGTGAAACGTGTAGGAGACACTGCAATAAAGTGGCTTAATGTGCACACAATGTGTTGGATTGGGCAGAGTTTAAATAAACTCATATCAGAACAGAAATCTTGCATTGTAAAGATTTATTGCACAAGGTATCTGTGCTTGGATCAGCAGATAAAGTGATCTGCCTGTCCAATAATTTGGGCAGAAAGTGATCAGGGTTATGATGGTTAATGTCTGTTTAGTTGCCAATCACAGAACCGGCTGTACTGATCAGTGTGTAGCCTGCCGGTGTCATCAGCTCTGTTCTGACTCGGGGTTTATTACAGAACACCGCGTTGCACAGAGCTGAGGAACAGTGGTTGATTTCTGGCTATTTTCACAAATAACATTTTGTGAACTTTGCTGTATGTTGTGGTGAGAGACTGTTATTGTCTGTTATTTATCCCTGTTTGAGTGGATTACCAGATATTTAAAGAATATATCAGCCACAAATATAAATTGGGAATAAAAAATTTATTTAAGATTGTTAGATCATTTAAATACTTGTTTGTAAAAACAAACAAACAAACAAATAATTAACATCTTGCAATAGCATAAATAGATGAATAAATACATATATAAAAGCATCAACAGTATGTTAAATTATTGATTAATAAATACACACCAGATGCTCAGAGAGCACAATGATGCTACCTTGTGATGTAACTTTACATCATTAATTATTCCAATTTATGTACTTAGCACATACTGTAAGAAGGTCAAACTGGAGCGCAAATAAAACTCCAAAATTCATCTTGGGAATCCTTAATGGGTTTTAACTCTGGCGCTGGATGTTGAAGCTTCTGTAGCGTGGGGCGGTCTCCTGACACACTTCCACCACCTGGTCGTCGTCCTGCGCTGTGCTGATGTACCAGTCGGGGCAGCGGACAGACATGAGAGTGCTGATGCTGCGCCCAGTGTCGCGTTTATAGAAGAGAAATCGCACCATGTCGCTTTCAGCGCTTATCCTTGTCAGACTGTTTTTATCCGTCACCTCCTGAGGAGAGCAAACATCCATGTCAGAGAGTTTCAGTCAACAAAATTAGGCCTGATATCAAATATTAATTCATCTATATGTGTGCAGTGTCTTATAGATTATAACAAATGGTGTGCTTTTCATGTGAGATTCCTGAAAGAAGTTTACCTCCAGGTGGAGGGATGGCTTGTCGTCATCCTCGTGACAAGACAGATAGAGGTTTGTGCCTTTGATGCCCAGAGCGACAGGCCTGGTCTCAGCGTTGGGTGTAGGGTGCGCGTAGGTCGACATGTTCAAGTGCACTGTGGAGAGAGTGATGGATACAAGGTCATTTTAATAAAACATGGCAGCGTACGTAAGCAGGAAAATGTTAGAGGCACAATTGAATCAATTTAATAAATTCAAGCTACCTATCCTTTCTACTTTATGGCATTTTAGTTCTTTTCTACTTCATGTTTCTAACAACATGGATGATGGATGATGATTTTTAATGATTTTCAACTATTTAAACGTCTAAGTGTCACATGTAGTTACCTTTGCGGTCATCACTGCCTCCCTGCAGCATCACTGCATGGAGCTCCATGCTGCTTTGGACCAGAACCAAGCTCCTCTTTTGGCTGTCAGTCACAGTGCACTCAATCTCATCCCTGCTGGTGAACTGAGGTGGTGGACCTGTCCTCTCGATCATATGCTCTGGGACAAAAACAGACATGCATGGTTGAATATGGTGTTAAACTAGATGTGACTAGGATGGTAAAATGGAAAGATACATTATTTGTGCATTAATCTAAAGAGAATTCAAAATAGCTAAACGTAATTCATATTTTATAGAAGAGATAATGGCTCATTATGAGTTTTTCCAGTATTAAACTTGTGATTACCTTCCACAATGCTCTCCAGCATGATGGAAAGCAGGTTTTCATCCTGGAAGTCTGTGCTCAGCACTGGCTCTGAATTGCTGGTCTTGAACCTCTCCATGGCAATGATGAGGTTGACCACACTCTTCATTGTCACTGGATGATGGGAAACTTCCAAGTCCAGTCCCTTGGGCATCTTGAGGCTCCATTCCTCAGCCATGTAGCTCATTTCCAAGTCCATCTTTTACTGAGTTAAGATCTGCTAAAGCACAGAAAATAATTTGTATTATCCTCACAGCTGGATTTTCAGCAGAACTTCTACTCATCTTATACTTTCTTTATTTTGTTTCTGTTACTATTTACATTTTATAGCATTTTTAAAAAATTGCTCTCTACTGTTACAAAGCAAGGATCTTCTTTGCTCAAGATGAACACTGTCAAAAAACCAAACGAACATTGTAAGTGAGCTTACCTGTTGAAATTTGGAGATCAGAAGCTGTGTCAATGTGCTGTGTTCACAGTTGTTCTGTCAGCGTTGTTCTGCCCGACTGTGCTGTCTGGCAGGGTTTTTAAATCCCCTCATCAGGGAAGTTTGGTATTGCATACAACACATCCGTCACTATGATGCAATAGTGGAGTTGCACAAGTTCTCGGCGGTAAAGTGAGCTGGCAGATTCACACACAAAATCCTCTTCACTGATTCCAAAGATTGGCAACAGCTTGAAGCATCTGCACAGAAGAGTCATAAGTAAAGGATAGACTGGCACTTATAAAGTACCTCTATATTCATTTTAAGTATTAAAAGGACTTTTACTCGATCACACAGCAGTACTCCATCAAACGTTCACCCGAATGTCTGTGTAGGTTTGATGAATATCCAGGACATGATAGTCTAAGTAAGTACGTAAGCAACTGGCCTTGTTTAAGTTTTGTGAAGCGCTTTCACCTCTCATCCCAGAGGCTTTCTCAGTTCTAAAAACCAACTGTTGAAGAGTCCCAGGTATTTAAACCCTAGTGGGGTTTGCCATGCATTTATTGAGTGGTGGTCCGAACACGCTTCGCTGCATTGCATGCGATGGATGAGAGGAGTAACAAGTCACTGCTCTGTGAGCATTAAGTGTCTCTTGATTTCTCAGTCAGATTCATACATGAGCAGCCATCATTCCCAGATCATCAAAACAGCTGCGCTTTAAGGTAAATGTTGTCGTGATTTGTGCTCTATAGATAAAATTTAACGGAATTGATATGTCCATTGTTATATACAGACTATCTACTATTAAAATAGAGCAATGACCGACAGCACCATGACACAGGATTAAAAATTGCCTCATCTTTGAGAAATAACAAAAAATTCATGAAAGCAGGTGAAAACTCATCATATGTAATTTAAAAAATTTCTTCATACGTCTTTAAAGAATTTTAATGGGTATTTTAATGTGATAAAAAAAAATTCCAGTACACTTCCTAGGTGGAGTTGTGTAACAGTGCTTAAATAACTCTAAATTTCCTTGTTGGGACATGAGTGATGTGTCAGGCACGTTTATCACGCTCAGGCTGAAGTTTACATCAGTGTTTTGACGTCAAAAAGCAAAAGACAAAAAAACCCACTGTTTGCAACCATTTTTGCCTATTTTGTTTTTAACTTTCACTTTAACTCCAAAAAATAATAATAAAGAATTTTATTATCTCTGCCATTACTGAATAAAAAGACAGAAAAACCTCTGCTTTAATGTTCCCAGTTTAAGCTTCTATAGCAGCCCTCACTGATAGATGAGGGCTTCCTGACAGTCACTGTTTTATATTTAACTAAAAAAGGAAAGATTTATCATAAATTTAAGCATATTACAAATGTCTCAAATGGCTTGTACAGATTTGAGATATTTCAGTACAGTTTTGAAAGGATGAAATATTTTAGATAAGGAAGACAGATTGTAAATCTAAAATAAGCTGCTGTGAATGGATCCAAATGTCACGAGCTGGGAAATGACTGGAGCCAAATTGTATCTGTCTAAATCTGTGATCTAAAGTCAAATTTCCATCTTCAAAAGCTGGATTTTTTGGTTAGATCAAGAAAAACCCTTTGATAGAGTGGATTATTTGTTTAGGACACTTTAAGATGCAGGTTTGGGGGGAAAATTATTTCATGCATTGAGCTGCTGTTTTGTTGAAGATAGAAAGGGACTCAGCAGACCAGTCCCTGTCTGGAGAGGCATTAGGGATGGTTGTCTGTTATCTGGCATGCCATATGCTCCTGCTATTGAACCCTTCTTGAACCAAAGGGTTCACGGGGTTGACTTTTGCTACAGATGCCAACATATCAGTTATCTTTTCTGCCTATGTTGACGATCTGACTGTGTTTATTACTAATTGAAATGATATTCACATATTCAGTGTTGGGAAGGTTACTTTTAAAATGTATTCCATTACAGAATACA